TGCGTAGAAGGTAAAAGATCTAAGGTACAACACACAATGACGTACTGTTTCGGGAGGATTCATTTCTAATATTTCATAAAAAAACATCTAATGTTCAGATATTGATAGCCTTTACATAATTAATAGGTCTTCTGAGTCAATGATGAATTTAAAAAATAAACACAGGATATTGAAAAAGCCATTCTGTATATTTTTTTATAGATTAAAATAGTTGGTCAAATTAGGGGAAAGGATTTATTAGTATTTTAAAGTGCTAACTGGAGAATAAATAAAACAGGGCCCAATAGTACTATTCATTCTAATTTTTATGTCGGTATTATCATGACTCTTTTATACATGGACCAAAAGAAGAAAAATAAATATATATTGGACTGGGTATTTTTTATCAATAAAAGAAACATTAAAAACAATAACTGTAAGTTGTGGAATAATCAATAGCGTCATTGCTGGACATTTACCTTGCCTCTAGAAATAATATCTTTGAGTCAATCGTATATAAGTAACATTTTTTCATAAAATCTCTCCCAAGGTATAATTGGTAAAATGAATTAGGAAAAAGTAATGTTTTTATTAAAACCTCACAAAACCGAAACAGGTCTTAAGGTGTCTTAAGCACCCCCTTATAATTTTCGGACAAGGATATCTCAAAAAATAATTTTTTTAAAAAACTAAAATTTTGGAAAAATATATTAGGCATTAATATCTAGAACATGCATATATTTTAAATTTTTATTTTCTTCTAGTTTCAGAAAAAAAAAATCAAAGGGCTTTAAATTTTGAAATATCATAATGAAAATAAATGCATTTTTCAACAGCACTATTCTTAATATAATCCCTAAATTTAAGCTCTTAATCTCTTGTTAATGATTTTTTAAAATTCACCGAAATTAGTGGCTAAAACGCCTCGTTAATTGCTATTTTCTGGTGTAAACTGGTGTAAACTAGTGTAAATCGTTGCAAGAAACGAATGATGACTTTGTGTACGATCTGGGGGTCGATTCTCGACTCGTAGGAATATTTTCCTATAGGAATTTTTGACAATTTTACATACATCGAAAATTTATGACATTGTCCTACATATAGGAAAGTGTCACAAATTCCTATAGGAAAAGGTTCCTACAAGTCGAGAATTGACCCCATGATAGTTACAGACGCATTACACCAGAAAGGCGTTTTAGCCACTAATTTCGGCGAATTTTAAAAAATCAATTACAAGAGATTAAGAGCTTAAATTTGGAGATTATATTAAGAATACTGCTGTTGAGGAATGCATTTATTTTCATTATGATATTTCAAAATTTAAAGCCCTTTGATTTTTTTTCTTGGAAACTGGAAATAATTAAAATTTCAAAATATAAGCATATTCTAGATATTATTTCCTAATTCACTTTTCCAAAATTTTAATTTAAAAAAAAAATACTTTTTGAGATAAGCTTGTCCGAAAATTATAAGGGGGTGCTGTAATCACCTTAAAGATCGATTGGAGGTTCATGGGACCTGTGATAAATGCAACAGATGTATAATATGTAAGAAACTGATTTTGAATCAGGAATGACTTAGATACAGATATCGGATAAATAGCTGTATTGAAGATGAACTTTGCAAGACTCACCATCAGTTAGACAGATATACTACACTGAATAAGAACGAATGGAAGAGTCAGAAGGATGCCTATGTCAAAAACTAGACGAAATAAAGCTGAACTTGTTAGACAAGTAATATTTATGCCAAGAGAGAAATGTTATATGGTACGTTTATTTCAGTTTTTGGTATAAAAACTATGACTGACATAATAAAACTATTAAAAGTATGTATTATTTTCAATCTTTGTTATTTTAAATTATTTAGTTTTTCATTTAAGTATTATCTTGAATCTAGGGAAAAAATCAAAAAACCCTGGCCATAATTGTCTACAATGTTGATATTCCTTGGTATGGGTGATCATCAGGTTTCAATATAGCCATTTTTCTGGAGGTTTTGTGTATGGTGTATTGTTAATATACTGACAAAATTTTAGGGGTATAAAATAAACATTTTTTGCTCAATAAACATAATAATATATATCCGAAAATATTTCGTTTTCGAAATGCAGGGTGTTAAAATAAAAAAATGTGTTTACCAATTTCAATTAAATTCTCAGTTTGATACTATTTTAACGTGGTAAATTTTGAACCTATTATCGCGTGTACATAGGCGTGCTCACTGGAGAAATCTATTTAAGGCTGTTCTCGCGATACACTATTTTACCTCTTACCACATATCTTGCTCATTTATGATCAGAATCATTTCATTTTTTAATGAGGTATTCAGAAGGAAAACCCTACCAATCTGTAGGTTTTAAATGTTTTTATTACAGCCTAGTTTTTTAAATAAAAAATTGGAACTAGAATAAAATTTTGTCAATTTACAAATATCAATTTTTTAAAACCTACATATTGTAGCTGATTTTTTTTCCTATCCTTTTTCTATTTACAAGTTTTTGCTAAAATCAAAAATTAATTGGATTTTGAGGTAAGCCGTTTCTCAATAATATTTTTATTTGGAACCGGTGAAAACAATATCGCTCTCTCGCGTCTCCCTACCTCCTCCGCTGAATCATCTCAGTCGGGGATGGAAAATGTAAAGTGAATTGGCCAGAGTCTAATTAGCCCATTATCCGTTTTAAGCGTGAGCGTGATATGTTAGTGTCGTTTATTTTTACTGTTTTCGGACAAATGTTTATTAACAAGAAACATATATTTTGATGACTTCACCTTTATAAGTTCTTCTGTATATTTACAGGACACCCTATATATTCAAATCTGTACAATGTACTTATTTTTTTTAAAGAGGATTAAATTAAAAAGTTAATTCAAAGAATTTAACTCAGTTTTTCCAATATAGCCAGTGTAGACACATCATTTAATAATTTATCTAATGTACACCTTACTATAACAACATAAAAGGTACTTACAAGTGAGGATGGCTACTAAAACTAAAAAAGAACATGTAATAAAATAAATTCTACTACTAACAACAATAGGTAAATACATAATAGATGAACAACATCAATACCAGAATAATACTTCAATAACGATAAATAAATTCACAATTTTCATACTCAGGTTTACGTCTCGTAACGTACATTGAAATACTTAACTTACGCAGATAAAGATATGGACTTCGTAGGTATTTAAAGATTTGAGAACGAGCTTGAAAGCCGTCTTGCCCGAATTATCACATCAAATTTCTGTCTAGGAATCTTGACAGTCAATATCGTGATGGTCTAGAAGGAATGGCACTTATCTAGCATCTAAGGATGTCTGGGTTCAATTCCCGGTGACAACAGGCTTTTTTTTGGTCTAAATAATTCTTAGGGGATATTTGAGATTGAAGTAGAAGAAGTTAATGATAAGGAAGAGTGGATGTCAGAGATGAATAAGTATTCTCATCTGAGAACCTTGTAGGTTATAAAACATTTAATTTAACGAAAAAGAGAGTTAAAAAAAAATGTATATTTGTTTATTATATTAAGCTTACCTAAACTTCTTTTGTAAAGTGTTTTCTTCATTAAATTCTCACAAGAGTTTACCTCATTACGCATAAACCAACCAAAGTTAAAAAAAGGAAAAAATTCCAAACTCAAATGTGACGAAAATATTAAAAAAAAAACTCAAAGCCATGTGTTACAATAATACCTGGTGGGTGCCAAAGGAGTAGCTGTTTTCAAGAAAGAAACTGCTGCTCGTATTATTGTTTTATTTTATTTTGGTGTAATAATTTATTTTTTTCTATGCATTTTAAAATTATTTTTGAACACTTGAAGTTTAAAGAGTTAGGTACTTATCAGCTTCTTGCATTTGAGACTGTTGATCAAAACCGTTTGATAAAAAATTAAAAAGAATGGGTATAGAGCAAGCATTGGCATTGGAATGGTGTACAGAATATTTAAGTAACAAAAACCAGAGGTTAAAATTAAATACCATTTGATCAGAAGAAATTAAGTACATTACAGGTGCAGTAAATTAAATCGTCTGATACTTTTAGTTTATATAAATCACATTGTTGATATCGCAAGGGTCAATGTAACACTCACCTGTTTGGTGATAATGCCCTTATCTATTTTTCTTGCAAGCATTCAGATAACTTAGTAAGAGTTGTTAATGAAACTGCAAAATATTTATAAATGGTGTTGCAATAATTTGTTAAAAATCAACACAAATAAAACAAAATGTATGAACTATATGAAGTTTTTTGATAAATAATATAACAACGGGAGGAAATTCTATACAGTTAGTAGAAAAATTCAAATATTTAGGGACAATGAATGCCAAACAAATGAAATGCACAGACCATGTCATCAATGGTATCCAAAACGTTATTGTTTGTATATATTTAATTTTATTTATAAGCTATATCTGTGGTTTTTATTTTATTTACACTTTATCATGTCTGTGAATAGAGTTATTATTATTATTATTATTGTAAGTCAAATAGCACCATCAAACATTTGTAAGTTGCTTCGGAACGTTACAACAGCAAATAATAATAATTTCTACCCCGCACAAGCTCTGTGGCTTTCTGGGGTTAAACTTTACTCGTAAGGGGTAGAATTATAGATAGAGCATTATTATTATTATTATTATTATTATTGTAAATAAAGGTATTTATTAATGTAAAACGCATTAAAGTATAATTTCATTATAAATCGATAAATTGCATAAATGCTTTCATCCGAATTGATCTCAGGAAACATCGGAACGGTGGTATTTCCGTATTCCCCAAAACGAATTCCCAATTCTACCGCAAGGTACCTAAATACTTCCTCCCTGTAAACAACCCGATAAGAAAACTCTCCTAGTAGCCGTCTCTTCCAGTCGACCTCTCCCGCTTTCCTTTCAGGAAAACCCTAACGACCTCCTAGATAGCGCTTTGACGCGGCGCAAGCTCCCTGAGATTTTCCTCGCTTTTCCAGTTGTACGGGCGTCGCGAAAACCCGTCAGAGCTCGTGCAGGGAGGGGGCCGGTTTAAGACCAGCCATCGGGGTCACATCGAGACATTTTAAATCAGTTTCATTCAATTATTTAATAATTAAACTGTAATTAGATAGTTGAACAGTGCAAGTGCGGTTGATTAGCCTCGTCCAAGTCGCCCGGGATACGATTACCGGGATAATTCCAGACGCGCCTACAGCATTTCAGCCATTTTCTTTTTCATTTTGATATCACAATCGCGATGCTAATTCAATTCGTTTCCAGTGACAATTATCGATAATTCGACGAAGGTATTGAATAAGGGTTTTATCGCTCTCGAGGAATTACTGGGTTAGGAAGGTTGTCTCTCAAGCAATTTTGATTCGAGTGTTGCGAGTTGTACTCCTGACTGGAAATATTGATTCGACGTGTGTAAAATACAACCTACAACCGAAAGATTCCCGTTGATAAATTTTCGTGAAAATGCAGCGATTTTGGATCGGGCTAAATTACGGGAAGTTTTTTACTAAATTGTTCAAGAATAGGTGATCATGAATGTATACAGGTGAGTGAATTTAGCATTTTAAAAATGAGTGATCGGAAAATCGGGGAAATTTCGAAGCCACTAAACTGTGTGTGTGTGGGGTAGTGTGTACGGGATAATATCGATTTACGGTTATCATGATAGAGAAAATTATGTAGGTGGGAATTATGAAAGAACATTTTTCGGTCAGATTTTGTTTGGTATAAAATTTGTTTATATTGCCCTGCTAAAACGAGAGGTCATATATACAAAAATTCTGAGTTTTTTGCACATTTTGTAAGCTTACATTTTATTATAATACAAAGTTAGAAAGACCTATCTGCATTAGGAAGCATTAAAAATATACAGGGTGTCCCTGAAAGGTCTGTACAGAACGCTTTAGGTTAAAATATAAGAATATAGCCCTATTTTCTTTTTGTAATTACCAAATTTCGTGCAAATCATGCTATTACAAAAAAAAAAATATATAAAAAATAATAATTTGACACCCAGTATTTTGGAAACTCAACTTTTTGACTAAGCTAAATAGGGCTAGCTCCCCATATATTAGGTTAAAGAATTTGTGCTAGCCAAATTTCTGGGATCAGTCCTGTCTGGATAAAGTGTGTGGCTACGATGAGTTCTTACCTTTTTTTGGACAAATGATGTCAAGGAATTAGAATTTTTAACTAGGAACTTAATATACCAAGACACAAAAAAGTTATGAAGTTTTATATGCAGAGGATGTGATGCTGGTGGCGCCCTCTGCAATTTATATCAAAACCGTAATCAGATCTAGATTTTTCATCCTAAGAAACCCCCAAATACCAAATGCTATTATTAAGAAACCTATTTACAAAAATGTATTAAAAAATTATAACTAATTTGAAAACTTTTTGACAAATTTTTGGCAAGTTTTTGACAACTTTTTGACAACTTTTTGACAACTTTTTGACAACTTTTTGACAACTTTTTGACAACTTTTTGACAACTTTTTGACAACTTTTTGACAACTTTTTGACAACTTTTTGACAACTTTTTGACAACTTTTTGACTAATGTAAATTTTAGCCAAATGAATTTGTGCTAGAATTCTGTACAGACTTTTCAGGAACATCCTGTATATAATGCTATAAAAAAGTGCGAGACACACTGAGGGATCTATTCTGTAACTTTTTAGTTAATTTTAACTGCCAAATTAAAAGGTTATTTATTACTATTCAATATTTAATTTTATTTGATGTTATAACCAATCCTAGTTAAAATAATCATGGCAACGACGTAATAGGTATACGTACACAGAAAAAGAATATATTTGACAGTTAATCATTACTAATTTTATTACTCAAGCAAGTTATAATTTTAACCAAATAATACAGAATACAAAATTGAAAATAGCCGGGATTTTTTCATTTAATTTAATTATTTCAAATTAATTCTGATGCCTTGGTAGGATTCCCCACTCGACCATTCACTGTTGGGTTCTAATTAACAGTGCTGTTCCTAAAGTGGCGCTGGGAAACAGTAACAAAGCCTACACAGAACACGAGGCGAATAACCTTAGTAGTTGATGCCGATGACACCAAATAAAAAAAAAAAAAAAAGAAACATCCAATTATTTTTATAACCCAGGGTTAATTTTAACCAAATATTTATATAATAGACCCCTGAGAATTCAGTCTTATAAAGCACGCCGTTGACAGCCGTCGCTATGCTGGGATCGGCAAAAAACAGGTCCGGTCTCAATAATAAATAATAAGCAATGAAAATTACAAATTTATAGGTCAACAAATAATTTTGGATAATAGTCATCGTCGAGATCTGAAATCTCACTCTCAGAATTGTCGCCAAAATTTACTCTTATAATGAGTCCATCAACGCAATTACGCCAATTTTGTTGAGTGACAATTTTCATGTTCAAATGCTTCATTTATCAATAAACCTAACCTAAGCTAACCTAACCTAACCTAACCTAACCTAACCTAACCTAACCTAACCTAACCTAACCTAACCTAACCTAACCTAACCTAACCTAACCTAACCTAACCTAACCTAACCTAACCTAACCTAACCTAACCTAACCTAACCTAACCTAACCTAACCTAACCTAACCTAACCTAACCTAACCTAACCTAACCTAACCTAACCTAACCTAACCTAACCTAACCTAACCTAACCTAACCTAACCTAACCTAACCTAACCTAACCTAACCTAACCTAACCTAACCTAACCTAACCTAACCTAACCTAACCTAACCTAACCTAACCTAACCTAACCTAACCTAACCTAACCTAACCTAACCTAACCTAACCTCCTGTGTCTTGTAATCAAAGTTGTTCATAGCAAATATATCGCTTTAACTGATTCCATACCATCTTAATCGGGTTAAGCTCGCAATGAAACAGTGGTAAGCGTAAAACAGTTATCTCCCGTATTTTGCAACTATTTCCTCGAGCTTATATTTGACGTATTGCTCCCTGTATGCATTGGCAACATCAAGCAGCTGAGATTTTAAATAGGAATCGTCAAACAGCCAATTTTGTATTTTGGGTTTCTTTCATGAGATAGCTAGAAATGATACGAAGCGTTATCCATAACAACAACAACAACAACAACAACAACAACAACAACGTTATTTCGTCCATTTTTGAGTAAGTTGGGGTTCAGTGACACCTCAAACCATTGCTCAAAATAGTCGGCGTTCATTTGGTCATGATAATCGCCAACGCTTTTCTTTGCTAAGAAAACACGCGCGGCGCCAGTAAAAATGCACTTTCATATCCTGCATGTTATCACACCATGCATAGTAAACCGTTTTTCGTGATCTACCTATTTCACGAGGGTCATTTTGTTAGTCTACCATATATATGTAAATGTTAAACTTTGTTTTATCTATAAGTAAGTTGATATGTTTTTAATTTAGCTTAGAATAATTTAAAGAAGGGTAGTGTGGAAGAATATGTCTTAATGATCCAACCATATCTAATATTTACCAATTGTTGTTGAAGTAATGTAAATTTTTCTATTGTTGATATTTCTTTTTTTACTGACAAATAAAAATCATAATAATTATTATTATTAATAATATTTTTTTAAATGATAAACTTTGTCTGCCTCTCGTTAATCTTTGAGGAAGAATGACAGGATCAACAATTAAATTAACCAATTATTTCAGCCCACAAGCGAGTTCATTAAGAGAAGAAAAGAAGAGTAGTGGCTTGAGAACGGTTTCTTTTATAGTAACACAGGGAACTGTTCGTGGGCCAGTGCTTTTTATACTCTACATAAAAACAAGTAGTTTAATGAATAAAAAAAACTTAGTTTTAATGATGACATTGTCATTTTTTATCAGTTAGAAACATATGGGCAGAATTAAAAAATTAAGCCGAGAAATAATATATTAACGTTTAATCCAAACAAATTACGACTTACCTTTTACGACCTATGCCTCCAATCTACGTAATCTTGAATGTTTAATCATAGACAGGCATCGACGATGGGGTCTGCAAATAAAAAATATCATTAGGGTTTGGCTAGCACCTTCTTTTCCAAAAATGTCAAATCAATAAAATTATCTATTTAAAAATAATGTTTTTGTAATTAATGACAACTATTCTAAATATTATAAATAAGAATGTTATCCGTATATGTCAAATGTTGAATTAGGAATTCCAAACAAAATGGCTGTCCGTTTGAAATGACAGACCACTGACAGGCACATTATAGGTTATAATATTGGCAACATTGTGAGCCTGGTGGCTTGCTAGCGTCAATGCTATAGACAGTTATATATATAGATCCGTCTTACTACTTATAGTTTTTTAACAATTACAAATGCAGCTTTTTGGCATTCGTATCTAACTCGTTGGATACCCACCAATGGCGTACACATAAATAATTCATCGAACTTATTTATCTGCAAGGCAAATTTGTTTTTTGCAAATGACAAAATGCTAAATATTAAATTCGCTACTACCGTTCAGTGTCCAGACTAGATCCCGTCATACAATTCGGATGATTGATGTCGCAGGCCAAAAGAGAACAACTGTATTGTTGATTAAAACAAAACACTGGACAAGCTTGTTCTTTGTTCAATTAATCCTCGGATTTATGATGGGGCTCCAGAGCTCGTTTGTTATTATTTTTTTCGCTTGTTTTTGCAATTATTTTCTGCGCGGACAAAAACAGATTGCAGATTGCTCAGGATTTTTTTTTCGGCGATGGTATATTCAGAATGCTATTCGCTATTAAATTTGTATGAAAAATAAGCTTTATATATGTCTACAAAACAGACGACATTATCAAATTACCCCCAATAATGTCAAATTATGAAAAAACCAGAAAAACCTAAGCCTTTTTCACAGCATGACTTTGATTAATACACAACTTAATACGCTAAAAAAACATGCTTATTTTCTACACTGAGCAAAATAGTTTGGCAAATTACCTAAAATCATTGTTATAGTCCATGCGCAAATGGTATAATGTGATTTAATTACATTGAAGTATAGTTAGGGTTAATAGCAATGGTGAAATTTCGGCATCAAAATATAATTCATTATGTAATAATTAATTATTTGTTGTAAAAGTAAAAAACGTTTATTATTTTATAATTTATCTATAAAATTTGTTCAATATTTGGTTTATTCTTAAAAATGTAATAAAAGCCCCATATTTAAATTAAATTACCTTTTCCTTAAGTAAAAATAACGTAAATAAAATTAAGGGTACCAAAAAAAAATAGTTAACAATTAAAAATACATTAAGTTTGAGATGTTTAACTAAATATTTGCAATGTGCATATATTTTTAAAGCTTTTAGGTTTAAAAAGTACTTAATATTTTTAGAATTTCTGGATTTATATTATATTAAAAGGACTTTCAAGTTTATTACTTATTTCTATAGAAAAAAGTGTTTTCTCGCAAAGATAAGCCAGATGTCATTTAAGGTTTATGTATTTAGAGTCAAATACGTGGCCTGGCTATCACCCAGACAATACAAATATGTCCATTGGACGTCCCTTCGATATACAATTTTGGATGTCTAGACGTCCAAAAATTAGTTTTTTCTGGACTTCCGATATCCAATGGACGTCCAGTGAAGTATACAAATAGCACAATTTTGACCATTCAGAGGACGTCCAATTCTGGAATATATTTAGACGTCGAATACTGGACATTCAAAAAACGCCCAGGACAATATTTCCATTGAGACCACATCCCCACTTTTTTTACAGAACCGCAACTCAACACACACTATTTTATATTATTAATAATTTGTTTATTATTTTCGCAAACCGCTATACACCATTTATTATTATTTTTGTTTTTTTTTTAATTAAAGATCGCTTGACCTGAGCAGGCATCGAACTCACGACACATCCATTATCGTTTTACGCTTTCAATTGCTAGTCGAGCTCGACCAAGGAACCACTTGAAAACTTTTTACTAGATATCGTTATAATGGAATAAGATTTCAAACTTCCGCTGATAGAATGAAATGAAATAGATTCAATTTGTCAATTTTTAATGACCAATTATATTAAAAAAAAAGTGTATATAGATGGGTATTATCTGGTAGGCTTAATAAATAATAACCTAAGGTGGACGTCCACTGGACGTCAAAATACTACTAAACTTAAAATTAAGTCCAAAAACAGACGTTCTCTGGGTATCGATATTCAGCTGTCAAATTAATTAGCATAAACGGACGTACACTGGATACCCGGATATGGACGTCCTTTCCCTCAAATGGATCTAAAGTGGACGTCCATTGGACTATGTGTGCTGTCTGGGCATAGACGAATTTTTAGAAATAGTACTTATTTAATTATGTACCAATATTTCCAAAATCAACTCTAGTATAATTAATTCAATAAATGTAAATATGAATGGGCAAAACATCTTTATATTGACATAATTGTAACTTACAATTTAGCCATAATAAAGGGATTTCGCCCACTTTGACCAATCCTAATTGAAACACGCGGATTTATTATATTTTTTTAAATATAATTTCAAAATAAACAAAATCTGCAGTGAAAAATAAAATGTCCAAACTGATTAAATCATTATACTTAATATTTATGCATGTGATAAAATTCTTAGTTTTCTAATAACTTTTTTGACATATTTTATATCTGTATTAGAATACCTTAAGTGTGAAAAAAAATTTTCATTAAAACAAACCCCAAAAAATATCACTTAACCTTGGACTGACTTTGACAGATAACATAATTTTGAGTGATACACAACTTATTTTCGCACATGCGCGTTACAAAACGGTACACTGAAAACACCAAGCTGTCGCTTCTTCTTCATTGGTATTCTCGGACATAAAAAACCTATTTGAGTAACACAAAATCAAAGTATGTGAGTAACACCCACAGAACTGAAATTAGGAGAATGAATTTGACAGTTTATAAAAACGTTCCTACAAGGGGAATAAAATTGAGGTTTTTTTGAGTTTGCGCAGTAGGTGCCAAACAAGGTCATTATTTGAAAAAATATATATATAACAATGTTTCCAGAAAAAAATTAACGGCGGGTTGTACAATACGCGGTTAATCGTTCCAAAAATTGTTTTTAAATGGATAAAATTAACATTTATTTTCAAATCACTTTCACAAATGATAATTGACAGATACTCACTGCGCAAACTCAAACCTCAATTTTGAATCTCCCTAACGAAACGTAAATTTTGAGCAAGAATTGACATCAAATCCATTCTCCTAATTTCAGTTTTGTGGTAACACCTCTAGTCTTATATGCTCTATAAGGGAAAAACGTAAACTTTCCAGTTAGATTTGAATGTACCAAAGCCTACTATAATTAGTAGAAAAAGGGTGTTGCGAGATGTCTACATAAATAAAAAAGAGGAACTGAAAGTTATAATTCCCTAAATATACGTAAGCTTCAACTTTCTACAACGGGCTCCCATTGTTCTCTCAGTTTTTATCCCTTTTGTAAAACACACTACACCCTTTTTTTTCCATCAACAACATCAACTCCCTTTTTGTTTCGTTTCGGTATAATAGGTGTTACTTTCGTTCGCGTGCTTCAACTGTTTTGTTGCATTTTCGCGATAACCTGCCTACTACCTATAGATATATACGCAAAGTAAAGTAATTACATACCGTGTGTTTCGAACAGCGGGAGGCTAGTCAAACCGGGGGTGGGTAATTAATGCGTTTATGCATGAGGATGGACGATTATGTTGTTAGGGAAAGTTGAAGCAAACACACGAGCTGGAGTCAAATACTAGAAGGTTATTTATTATAAATGACCCATCCTTTATTTTTATTATTATTATTATTGCAAATATCCTACCCGACCATTCACTGCTGGGTTCTAATTAACAGTGCTGTTCCTAAAGTGACGCAAGGAAACAGTAACAAGGCCTGTCTGTAGGGATGTAGGAGTATTAGAGTAATAATACTCCTGCACTAGGAGTATTAGACTACTAGTACAATCCATAACCTACATAGAACACAAGGCTAATGATCTTAGATGTTGAAAAAACAAAAATTTTAAAAGATTTCATCTGCAATAGTGGAAAGTGACGTCCAAAGAACATCAACAATGACAAGTGTATACTATATATACAGAACCTTTCGTGTGCAAAAATCGGGACTTTTGGAGTCCCGTTTGTTTATGACATTTGTAGGTTTTATCCAAATTTTAAACTAAAAAAGTAGCGTCTGGGTTAGCCATGACATTTGGAGTGTTGGACTGTCACTAATCGGAATAAACCGAATGGTAAAAGTGTCGTTTGGAGTTAAAGAAGTGAATGGAACGTGTCTGTCTGAAATTACCTACAGTACCTGAAAACCAGTTTTTTTTTTTATTGATTTACAGGTTTAAACAATGGTAATAATTGCGTTATTTTTTGCAGATAGACAACCCAGAGCTGATCTGGTATGCAGTGGCGGAAATTGGCGCGCTCGAAGATCACTTCCGGTCGGTCACGCACGCGCAACATGCTCTGCTGTGGCCGCAGAAAGGTAAGAACGATTGTCTTCAAGTAGGAAAAAATTTTACTCGGCTTTTTGGCACGTTTATCCCAAACTTAAATCCTTTATCCTAAAACTTAACCTGAATCGAAACAAATTTGACAAATTAGACATATTATAATCCAACCTCAATGAGTAGTAACAACTCCTCACTAGCAAAATGCCAGGCTGCTTGAAAAGAGATTATTGCTCAATTTATATTATTCAATGTATATTTCCATCTGGCTTTTGCTTAAACTCAAGATTATGCACCTAAAGATTGTAATATCCTCGGCGTTAATTAGCAATAATTAACGTTTAATTACCTTTGTTAATTATTTATATTTAATTTTGACTAGCTCTTAGATATATTTATACCAAATCATTTACTTACGTCTTAATCTAATCAGAAAATCAAATGGGCATATGCGACTGTAGTTTTCTCAGTCGTGAATTCAGTGTTTTCTAAAATACACTTTTGGGAAATATTTTTAAGGATATATGGGCGCCAACAACTTTCTTTTTTATTTTTAAAAAGCTAGTGGAGAATTTTCCAAAAAGGCAGAATTAACTGATTAACTCAGAGTTATATATAATTTTAGCAAAAAAATAATTGTCGTAACCATTAACAATAAGATTCAAAAAGAATATAAATAAATTTGTTTATTATTTACCAGTGGAAATGTTTATACACTTTTACAATTATCAAAGAATTACATGTAGTATTAAAAATCGTAATCAAGGAATAAGCGAATTTAGAAGCAGTTGCAATCACTAAGATTGTCCAATAAATTTTATACAATGAATCTGACCATCGTAAAGATAATTTTGTTAGTTGGTGTCTACGATTTAGCTGGCGATAAATATTTATAATACAAGCTCAGTTATGATCCTGTGGGAATTGGGACGTTGATTCTCTATAATTAGGCTCAACGTGTTCTTTTAATTCCTATATAGAAAACACTTAAATTAAGGTTCAACTTGATAGTTGTAATCCTTAGACTGCCAAATACTCACTCTCTAAACAAAAATAAAATCTGTTTTTTTACGAGACCCTTTCAAGAGATACAAACTAAACTTTCCAATAAATATTTTTAGAATTTCCAACAATTAAACAATTAATTAATACATTAAATAACAATATTAACTTGAATAATTTAAAATTGATTTACAAAAATTAAACTTATAATTAAATAAAAGGTAAAAATGACTTATTAGATTTTTTTCAGGGACATTAAAAATTTACCGCTATTGCAGTTTAGACACTATACCCAACTGTTCAGGTCAACAATTCAATTAGAAATGAATAGTAGAGAAAATGATTTCACATACGGCAAATGCCAGATTTTTAAATAAATTTCCCCACAACTCTTAACAATGTTGCTTGCGCCGAAAATTAGATTTTAAATCATTTTAATACAAATTAATTTATTTATATGGGATGGCACCCATTCAAAATAAAATTTTTAGACATGCATAAATAACATAATCTATCATAAACGTTCATGTTGGTTTATGCCGCGAAAAATACCTTCATATTCTCGATGGTCCAAATGAATTTGACAAGGTGAGTGTTCTGTGTTCTTGACAAACAAACGTCAGATCTGTATTAGTTTAAACATTGTATTTAGATCTCTAAATACAATGGTTTAAATAACAACAACTTTGTGCTTTAAGGTAAAGGGTAAATTTAGAACAAAAACAGGGTGTAGTGCGTGATTTTATTAATATTTTTATCCTTAGTCTCACGGAAAAATTACAGTTGCTGATTTTACGAGAAGACATTTTTTGAATTAGAGTATCTACTAGAAGTGAAAGGTGTGTAATAAAAGTAACATACAATGCAAAACACGACCCAACCACTGTGACCCAACTCAATCATGGAACACTTAAATTGGGGTTATGGGGGTTGTGAGTTGTGAGACGTCTCCATCAGGCAACCATTTTGTTTGAAGTGCCTATTAGAATAGGAAGCATTTTTTTCGTTATATCGTGTTGAATTTACGTCTGATTTCTTCTATAAATCTCACTACCTACTGACTATAAGACGAAATCTATTTATCATACAAAGACAAACTTCTATTTAGTCCAACTTTGTAGCAACTTCCGAAACGCCATCACTAAACAGAAAACAGAGCCTCTAAAATAAACTTGAAACAATTAAAATCGACCTGTTTTCGTGTTTGGTCGTTCATTTATACTCCGCACATCGCCGTACAATATTAAAACACGGAAATGTGCATATTACACACCATTCATCGTTTTGCTTGTACTATCCCCTTTTTTCCTCGACACCAACAAACAAACCGTAGAGCTTATTATGAATGTACATACGTCACGTCACGAAAACTCTCCTACATGTGACTAATTAAAAATAAAATAATAGTATACAATTGCGGCGTTGCCGGTTGTAATGGCGCCAAGGAAAACTAAGTAAACAGCGTGACGAATCAAACAGATATTACGAAAATATTCTGTCATTCATATTAACATTTTTAATAGTTACCTACGCATAAATCCTTAAAGATAGTAACGTCAACTTCAATCCAGAGAGAAAGTCACATACTTTGATTTTCTCTTACTATACGGATAATGGTCGCACTGCGCAGCTTTCTCGGTGCCTTTTAAAAGGAGATAGAAAACTCCGCCATTTTGATGCCTTATTACGTGTTGCCTACATCTTGGCGCAATATTTTTAATATTTTGCTTGCTGCTGTCAGTGATAGTGAACAAGTTTTGAGGATTTATATATCATTTTGTGTTTTAGACGTGATTTACACGATTATTTTTAATTAATTGGTGATTGTATGTTAATTTTTAGTGCTTTGTTGTTCTCTTTTCATTGTCTTAATACCAGGATGTATAGACTACCAGTTTAACATTTAACAGTTCATTGCTAAAGAATCAGTTAGCTCACTCGGACCAGTTGAATTTTCTAAATGGTTAAATTCTACAATTTCACCAGTAAAAACATCAACAAATTAATATTTTACACCTACTAAATAAATAAACAATTCTCAAATAGTTCGACTGCTTTTTACCCTAATATAATGTGAAGTCATAAAACTATAAATAGCATTTTTCTCAGAATACCGAACGTCAAACACCTGTGTTTTTAAGTGCACAGCGGTGCATTGGAACAAAATGAGTGTCCGGCGCATAGTGAACGAAGCACAAATGACGTATTTCATTATGTCATGATGTTTTCATTGGTTGAAACCGAATAGGTGCGTGAACTATGCCCCGGACACTCAGTTCGTCCCAACAGTATATATTAAGGTGCGCTCGACGCGAGCAGTTCAGTTGTATGTTTGCCATCATTCAGTAGTTGTCTTATTGCCATCGAGTTCAGTTGTCTTTTTGCCATCATCGCTCACGCTGCTCTTTGCCAGGTGCTTCTGCCGACGGCACGTTACTTTCTACATTTTTACGAGCATTTAATGCATTTTATTTTCGGTGAAAGTTATATCTTCTACAATTATTATGGAATAAGAAATTCTACAAACAAATGTTTTCAAGTTGGTAACTAAAAAATCAACTATATTATTTAATCAAATTGTGATGAACTAAAATTGTAAATATTTAAAACTGTTTAGTGAAGATAAGAAAATTATTATATCTAAATGGAATCAACCACTATGTATTTACTTCAGTGAAAATAGTGAATTAAAAACACTTCTTTTTCTACTACCTATGACTCGTTAGTTATTTCTACAAAAGAACCCAATTCTTCTAACACCAGCGACATATGCTACAGAACATTTTTACCAAAGAAATATTCGGAAGTAACACCGGTATTTTTTCACTAAAATAACATCCACTCCAGGGATACAAATTCAGGATGCGCAGAAGACTGCTGTTTGGATATAGGCGGTTGTCATATATTGTATTATCCGAGTTGCGCAGTGTATAAACTGGAACATTGAGATCAAAAGTGCCGACGCAGAGTGAGCGAACTGATTCTTTAGCTATAAACTGTGGTAAAGGCATCAAAATGGCCGCGCCCTATGTTGGGCGTGTCCGACCTCTCTCTTTCACCGTATAGTAATCAAAGTATGTGGAAAAAGTACAAATGAATACAAATAAATGAGGTTATGTTTCCGCATTCATTAACAAATTACATACAAATTATTAATTTAAGAAAGAAATGGCAGATAACAGGATGACCAGAAAATACAAATATATTATCTTAAATACAAAAACATTTATTAGCTGGTAGGAATAGATCATCGCTAATACTACTTTTAAATTGATAGATTGCTTTTTTAAACAACGCAGTAAGAGCTCTTACAGTTGTTGATTAATGTCGCTCTATAGATTCTCAATCCTCGATTTAAAAGGTTAGCTCAAAACGAAACAATGCATGTATTACATGCAACAGTCTAACCTCAAACATTTAATCAAACTCCGTCTCTAATTCCGCGCATTGAAACTCCCAGAACTGGTAATATTAATTAATATAATTCTTCCTGACGAGGAACAAGCTTTCAGTTAGACCGCAAAACTTCAAACAACCCCTCCAGACTTAAACTCTAACTAATATGAGTCTACAAACCGACATCAAATAAGATATGACTGAACTGACCCCTTTGAGGCGTATCCTCCCGTTCAACTTCCCCAAGTTCGCTCGGTCTTAGAGATTGTGCGGCGGTTACTCCACAATGTTATTTATTTTTGGGGAATTAGTACGTACGCGCGCACTGGAGGAGTTTGATGTGTGTGGTGGAGAGTTGGAGGTGACTTAGATGCACAAACAAGAGGGTATGCAACCGATATCGTTGGGAGCATTGGGGAATTTTAACGATTCATGGTAGATATTTTTATGTACAAGAAGCGGGAACATTTTTCAAATAACTAGATACTATACCCTTATACCATTCCAAATGATGAAGTTTTTTTAATATTCTAATAGTATGCGTTAATAAAGAATCCATTTTGATAATAATCTCGAAAGTAAAGCGGAAATCGTTGGAAATTTAGCCTCATTTTAATAAATTTTTCCCCAGTCATTT